AAACAGCGAATAAATTATATATAGAAAGTGACATTATCACTAACATTGATCTATCGCGAGTTTAAGCACTCTCAAGCAAAAAAAAAAACTATGGTTATAATCACTAAAGCTGTATACACTGTGAAATGAATCTCTTATTTACATTGTACGTACATCTGCGCTTTGTTGTTTATGATGAGAGAATTCGCAAGAGTCCCGAATTCAGGCAGCGAACGCGCGCGCACGCAACAAAACTGATCTGTTTAAACGATGACTCATCTGAACGCTTCTGATTGGCCATTGCATTCCTAAACTCAACAGAATTGTGTGTGATTGGTTAAAATGCGCAACACTGTAAAAACGCCTAAAATGAAATATGGTGAAACATGAGCAGATCTTAATTTAATGCCTCAATCGACACTGTCTATTCATATTCACTTTGTTAGCAACAGACGTAGTATATTTAATTTATTTGTGCAGGGGCATTTTTGTCCAATTTAGTGCCATTTTTGCCCCAAGTCCCTGTGGCCAGGGGAAGGCTAAGCCTTACACACGCTCCGCCTATGGATAAATTGCTAACCCCATACATGGTCCAGATATATTAACACTGTATATTTTCAAAATACATGAAATAATTTGTTTATTATTCATATATAAGGGAATGTATTTTCTTTGCGTAAGGATTTTCCAAACTGCATTTTTCGTCCATTGGTAATGTTAAAGGTTTCTTGCACCACAAAACAATGATAATTTAATAGTAGGCCTACAGTTTCCGTCTAGTTTTCTTTTTCTTGAAATTTCATTTATCTGATTCTTCTCAGATTTAAACATTCAGTTTTTATTGCAAGTTAGAGAATATCTTTAAAGACCGCATGTAAATTATGTTCATCCACTAACCTGCATAATATGTCATATGGTGAAGTCCTAATGGTTTTGGTATCAAAGGCATAATGATTTCTTAAAACTCCCTTTTTGTGGTTAGTTTCATAATTGATCTAGATTAGGCAAGGAGCTTTGCATTGTAATATGTTGTCTTGGAATTTTTTTAAAATTTTTTTATGAGACATTATTCACTTAAATGTGAAGTGAAATATTTTATACGTATGATAGGGGATGGGGGAAGTCGTGGCCTAATGGTTAGAGAGTCGAACTCGTAACCCAAAGCTCGAGTCTCAGGTCCGGCAGGAATTGTAGGTGGGGGGAGTGAATGTACAGCGCTCTCTCCCACCTTCAATACCACGACCGAGGTGCCCTTGAGCAAGGCACCGAACCCCCAACTGCTCCCCGGGCGCCGCAGCATAAATGGCTGCCCACTGCTCCGGGTGTGTGTTCACGGTGTGTGTGTTCACTGCTGTGTGTGTGCACTTAGGATGGGTTAAATGCAGAGCACTAATTCCGAGTATGGGTAACCATACTTGGCCACATGTCACTTCATAGGGCTGATATTATACAGTGGAAAACTCATGAATGGTGGCCGCAGTGCATATAGTGCTGAGCCATTTTAACAGTGAAAACTCACTGCAATATAACTAGACATTCAGACACAGATTTCCCTCCTTGCGGTAATAATACAGACATGATGAAAATCCCTGAACATTGCAGTTGACAGAGCACCTCTCAAAGCTCCACTGCAGCCTTTTCCATGTGTTAGCTCCAACTTGCCAGATGCCAGACATCAGACATGCTTATTCACTGTCACAGAGACGGCCCTCAGATGTGGCGTAAGACAGGGGCAGTGTATTTTGTCCTCATCTCTGCTGCTGGGGACAGATTTGTGCAGGAAAGAACCCCTGTGACATCTGGCCCTTATGTCGGCGGTGGGCCTAAGCTGCCTAATGAAGGGACATGCTTGTGCTTGGCACTGCACTGCACACCATTTATTAACGTCAGAGAAAGTCACACCAGGGTCTGCTGCACACTTTAATGATGGTACACTCAAGCTCACAGTGTTTGCATGCATTTGTGTGAGAAAGCTAGTCCTGTCGGACAGGCTTACACTTCATACACACTCTTGTCCTGGAGTTCCTGTAAAATTTGTTCTTAACTAATAGAAGATACATTATATGAAATGATGCAATGTTTAAGATATCCAACATCAGATTCCTGAGTTTAATTGTTCAAGTATTCAATATTTTCACAGAATAAATCATTCTAGTATTGTTGTTTTTTGTCCAGTAGTTCCCCCATTTTACTGTAATAAATAATTGCTATAACAAATTATTGTCTACTATAGTATTCTTCCATAGCTTTGCATGATAATGTCACTATTCTGAAGTGCACTCCACTTGTAACTATCGAAAAGAGGGTCAGAAGCCAATGACCAAAAAAACTCCATTTATAAGCCTGATTAGAAATGCTATAGAAAAAACTGTCACACGAAGAATGCATACGGAGAAAACCAGCATACATTTTCCAAACTATTAATATTAAACTTTGGATGAGGGGTATATTTTAAACTATTGCTATTTGTCTACACCTTTGGGCACAATTCTGATCCAGAAGTGAAAGTATTGAAAATATTAAAACAGGGCCTTGGGTTTGTGCAGTTTACGTCTTGTTCTGGCACACCTGCCAGAGATTTCCGTGTGAACCTGTAGACCCTGATGGGGTTCAGGTGTGTTTGATTAGTGTTGAAACAGAGCACTGCATGATGGGAAAAGTTACTCAAGTCTTAAGATCCCAGCACAATGCCCACATATCTAGAAATGAAATAAAGACTACATAAGACATCATGCATTGGTGTGTTTAAAAGCTTTATTATGTACTGTGAAGTATAAAACCTTGTTGCTGGTCATGATCTGTTACTTCTAAGCATTACAATACATGAGAGAATTCACTTTTTTATTAATTGTTACTTCTAAGCATTACAATACATGAGATAATGTATTGTGGGTGAGTTCAGTCCCACTATTGAGTCTCAGTACCTGGTCTTCTAAGTAAGCAAAATAACTAAATAAAAGCATTTCCTTCATTCCCTATATTGGCACAGAGAGATGATGACAGAAAGATTTGCTGACAACTGCTGAGTGAAACTGGCATTAAACCGGTTTCAGATATAGAAAGATTTATTAAAAATATTTGTTTATGAAATTATAGCTTTACTGTTTCAGTGGAGATTATGTGCAAACTCTTATTTGACAAATCTATAGACCATTCTGTACAATCTAGTGACTGTTTTCAGGTATATGAATCTTACAAGCTTTCCAAATCCCCCAGAAAGATGTCGTTTCATTTGTACAGTCATAAGGAAATTGAATTTTAAAATTCGGTCTGAGCTGTGTTGATAACCTCAAGGGCATTTAAAAAAACATGATTGGATGTTTTGAAATTTTCACTGCAAGGAGAAAAAGCTCAAAAACACATTCAGCTGAGGATCTCAAAGCATTAATGAGAGTATGTTTTCCATTAAAGATTTATGCACTGGATTTTGATTACATGCATCACATTTCCATTATGATGTGCAATTGTGTGAAATTCACTTACTGTATGTATTGTCTTACTGGTAAATCATTTTTGAAGCCTCAGGCTTTGAAAGCACAGGTTCTGATGAGTAATTTGTGCTGTATTTCAACACTGCTAGTAATGACATATGCAGAGCAAACTGAGTCATATGCTCACAGATGTCACAGTGGCAGAAAGCACAGAAACAAGCTGCTTTTATAACACCAAAAATACAAGCAAAACTGTTTGTTGCATAAAGACATTTATAAGTATTCAGTTGCAAGTGGTTGTAGATCTATCAAGATTTCATGCACCACGTTAAACCCTCCCATTTAGCTGTCAATGAGGTGACATAGCGGAGATGACATACTTAGACAAAATATACTCCATCTTCAACGGCCATTTAATCCAATTATGTCCTTTTTTTTGTCCCGTGGGATAAAAAGATTAAGTGAAAAGAGGATATATTACCAAAAAATGCAGCATAGCATTATGCATAAGAAAGGATTTAAACCTGAAAACAATGTTAAGATCAACATAGCCTCATATTATACCACAATATGTGGCATGCCTTCTGACCACCATAATGCAATATTGAATTTATGGGTCTCTGAAGAATTCAAACGGGATGTGATACAGCTTAAGAAATGTATCTGCTTGGACCTTCTATGTGATCTGAATAAGCCAATCCAGGGTGAGGTCCATCTCATATGACACTGTTCAGATTTCATTTAGCTGAAAAAGACAATAAAAACATTCTTAACTTAGTGTCACTCAAAAAGACAAATTCTCATAATGTTTCTTTTCAACTGGAAAAAATAGGCTTATATTACAGGACTAGATCAGCTCTATATTCTACGTCAATACATACCAGCCGGTAAGCACCATTTATTTAATTTTTATTTCTGATGTGATCAACCGGTGTTTTTTATTTTATTTTACTGCAGTATCTAAAAGCTTTCTCATGCCGTCCTTTCCCATCTGTCACAAACCAAGTGTGACTTTACAGTGACTTACACAAGATGGATACGCAGTGGTCATCTGTGCCCTGCAGTGATGTTCTGTCAAGATCAGCTCTGTTCAGATCCATGGAAATGGGTTCTCAACACTGGTGGGGAAAGAAGAGAGAGAGAGAGAAAAAAAACATTTTGTGGATTCTTCACACCATTAAGTCTGAGTTTCCACCAACATCTGCCAATACAAGAACATTATCACACACACGTAAGACAGCTCATAAACTGTGGGCTGAAACACATCTCAAGCAATGTTGGCAGTGACCTCGAGAAAGCCCAGTTACATTGACAAGCATCTGTCAGTTGGATGCTGTTGTCTAAATCCCTGCAATTATCTTTGGTTTCCAGAACAAATCCCTCAGTCGACTTGCCAAGTGTGTATAGTGTTACCATAATGGCAGAGAATAAGAGAGTGCAAGTGCACTCCTGCAAGCAGAGGGTGTCATTGTATCACTGTCAAACCTCTGAATTTTTAGTCTGACTGCATTAATTGACTCTTCAATCATAACATAATCTTCACTGCTTTTGGTGCATAGCCAAAAAAAAGGCAAGATTGAGACTAACTCAAATTTGTTGTGAATCATAATGTGAATATGTGAAATACAATTATAAATACAAACAGTACTATGCATTATGAGCAGTGGAGCATTTAATCAAGGTTTGTCAAGGTTTGGCTGGTTAACATGTTAGGAATGCCATAACTACCTAGTATTAATATTATGAGTGTATAATGGAGTCTAAAAAAATAATTTCTCCATTGATGGCCAATTTAAAATTAGTTGCATATTCTGACATAAGCAACATAGAGTATACATACAATAATAAGGATTTCTCCACTTATTATTGATCTCCTTGTTTCAATCGCCATTTCCACAAAGATTTCACTCAAAGTTTTAAATTAATCACTTGTTTTCAAATGTCCTTGAATCACAGCAGAACAACTAACTTCTTAAAACAGCTGTAATTTGCGAAGAATTAAGCAGATGAAGAGATGGGTGAGTGGTAAACTGATTACAAGAAAACAGGTGAAAACAGCAAGGCACGCTGTATTCTGAATTGACAAACAGGTGCTAGGCACTCTGGGAATGTGGCCCCTGGCTCACAGTTATAAGCTCAGCATGAGAATGGCTCGGTGCGATGTGTCTGCCAAAACAGCACGAATAATGCTGAAATCCATTATACCCCCATAATACTAATCAGTCGAACACCAAAAGTAAACAGATGCTATGCAAACATGGCTGCATTTTCCAGGTGATGTGCTCAGGAGGGACTACACGAGTGTGATTTTCACTAGAGGAGACAGAATAAGTCACAAATGCATGTCTTCCTAAAGCATATGGAGTGTTTATTAAATGTTCTCTATAATGAGAAGAGTGGGACTACTGCTAATTGAGATTCATTAAAAACTAAAGGATAATTACATTGCGTCTCGCATGCTGAATTGAATATTTGATTATCGCACTATTAAGAGTGCTGTGGTTTCGAAGCACAGCTGTGATACGGCAGTGGGTCGTGCTGAAATTCAGACCGAAAGAATGATTGCAAGTGTAATATTTTTTAACAGTCCAGAAAACAAGATGTTAATATGAGTAAATATAATAATAATAATCTTAAATTTCAAGGCTTCGCGAAGGTAACCCAAAAATTAAAGTTCCACCAATATCGTTCCTCCTAATAGCTGTGATGTGGACTAGGCTATTCTCACAGAATTAGAACAATTATTAAAACTTTATAGTTCTAATTATCATTATAGTTATCATCTTTACTGTGAACGGCATTTAACTGTTGTATAACTTGATATACCGTTAGCTATTTTAAGTAAAGGCAATTTTTCACTAAGCTTTCTGTACACTTGTAAGAGGCAGGTATAAACGATACTCTATATATGTAACACGAAATTGCATCTATCCTCTCAAGGAAGTGTGGCTTCTGTAATTGGATGTTTAAATTGTGCGGTTACAGTTTCTTAAAGCACACTACTTACCTGGCATACAGCATCTGCACACACTGTTTATAAGCATTTCCCCCTCACTTCTCACTTCTCACTGATTGGTTTTATCAGTATGCTCCACATATCGACTGCAAAGCGCCTGCAACGGCAGGGAAGAGATGTTACTCAGGTTAAACAAATGAAATGTTTAAGGGGAGGCTGGGAAGGGATATCCTACTCTTGGCAGCATACAAGGCAGAGATAGAGCTGGATATGTGGGTGGACCTGGTGCTGGGGAAGCTGCTGATGATACAGACATACCCTCCTCAGCGTCTAAAATCTTGCCTGAAGATAGATGACATGAATATGACCATGAATATGACCACAGTCTGACATACTGGTATTTGTTGAAGAATGAATAGCCTGACGTTCAGTTGTTTCGGGTGTTTTGTTTGTTAAAGATTTTTATACGCCGTTTATGATTCATGATCTACTGAAGAAAAGCTGTATCTTCTTTCACTCTCCTCCATGCTGACTGTCCGATGGCTTGAAGTAGGAAATGATTACATCTCACATTACATTCTCAGGCTTAAATAAAAGCTACAAGCTTCATTTAAAAGAATTTAGTGGATTTATTTTCAAATCTCTACATCGTCTGCGCTGACTATTGGTTTTGGAAAAGTAATGGAGGCTGGATTACCTGGTCTCTTTCCATTATCCACGTTCATTCAAGAAGGATCCTCTGAAGAGGCTATAGGCGCGAGGCTCATGCACTCTTTCAAGCCCAAGTCATAAAAGTCAGTTTAATTCCAGTATAATGGCTTTAACTGAGGCACTAAATTGTATGATATCAAAATCACAGGGGTATAAATTAAAATAATACCACATTTCAAAAGATGAAAAGACCAACAGACTCATCATCCCACATTTCAAAGGTCTGAACACCGCTAAGAAATTTATCTTTTTGTACAGTTAAGAGCTCTGTGTCCTTAACATTTGTTTGTCTGCTCTCCTGCTGTGTTAAGCCCAAAGGAACTGAATTACGGGACCAGCATGTAACATCTTCAAGCACCATGCTGCCTAACAAAATAATTTTAACATTCATCCTTGTGTTTGAGCTGGTTAAATCTGCATATTTATATGTTTGATTTAAATTTTAGGTAATGTTGATATTCTTTATATTTTTCCTCTTTATCCGCTTTTGTATTGTTGTGAAAGTATCCTTATATCATGGCTATATTAAAAGTTGCTCTCTGAGGCACGACTGTGATTTTTTTTTTTACACACAATTCCTACTATGTGAAAGAAATGTGATAACGATTCTAAAGCCCTTTCAAATGACTCTCCATCTCCGTCTCTTGCTCTCTATGTGATGACCAACTTGTCATAGAAAACAACAGTGATTTTCAACAGTGATGGAAACTCCACTAGTTATGACAGCAAACCGAATGTCTTGCGTGTGAAGTACAGACACCCAACAGAAAGCATCATGCATTAATCCAACCCGTTCTCATCAGTCTGCGTATAAATAACACGACTTTACACGCATACGCTACCATTTTAACACATGACCCCATGTAACATGATGCAGAAACACTGAAATAATTAAAATAATACCGTTAACCACATGATCTCATTACAAAAAGAGATCGTTGCCCTTACCTGTTTGAAGGTGTACGCCATCAGGTTAACTGGACGAACTGAGCCTCGCTGGGGACGTCACTGTCGCTGAAGATGACGCGTGGTATTTGGACGCATCTGCTCTCCACCGAAGTTAATGTGAAGGATTGGCGTATCATATGCACGCAAAATTGGCATTTGGCGTATGCATTACACGCAATTAGAAAGTGTAAAGTCGTGTTATTTATACGCAGACTGATGAGAACGGGTTGATTATTCTGTTATTGTCATCATAAATGTATTCTTCCTCACTGCAGAAAGAAAATGCATTATGAATCACAGAAGACCAGATTTAACAGCCTAAAAAGTCTGGTTGCTTGTTACTAATAAGTCTCATTAATTCACAGCACATGTGAGATCAGTCATAAACTGATATTTTTTTCATATTAACCACGTTCACATTTGCAGTCAAAATATCAGACCTCATGCACTCTCTTTCACCGTGGAGCAGTGTATAAAGACAAATGAGATATACATCCAAGCTTCAAAATCCTCTGCTGACATGTTCATGCCGAAGGCAATACTGTGAAATGGCAAAATCGCCACCTGTGTGCCACTGATTAGAAGACAATGCCTATTTTAATTAGCAAGCCTAAAGCCATACAGAGTCATACCAGTCCACAAATCATAATATCATATTATTTAAATAATGAATAATCTCTAATCTACCTTTCCATTCTCAAATAAGCCATCTGATAGGCGTCAGTGATTTAATCATCCTTTGTTGGCTTACAAATGGTTCTCTGTGTGAAAAAACGCATCTGTTTGAGCATGCCCCTGTCTTGTCCTTAATTAGACTATAAAACATGGCTGACCTCTACAAAAGACTTCCATCTATCAAGAGAACCAAAATAATGCGACGATGGTCAAAATTAATAGAATGACTAATATATGCATTTTGGAAGACCCAAGCTTTAAAAAAAGCTTGAATCGATATTGAAAATGTTGCATGAATGGATTTTCCATTTTTGCTTGTTTCTGATGCACCTAATTGCCTTAGCAAAATAAAAAAATAAACCAAACAAAATGAGTCCCAAAGAATAGTGTGTTTTTGTCTCTTGTTGCTGTTATGCTCCACATGCGGGGATCTCCTGCAGCATATTTAATACAAAAAAATGTTAATTACCCAAATATTCAAAGCATTGTTCCTGAAGGCCACATTTCACTCGAGGTCAAACAATCACTCCTTAATATTTTAGTGGTGTGTGCAATTAATCTGTGCATAGTGTCACAAGTCTATATCATACTGAGTGGGTTTCTGTCTTCAAGCTATATCCCAATAGGATGTTTGTGTTACTTGCTAAATGGTTTATTAATTGTACTGTCACAACAAAACATTAGTACATGCTCCTCACTCTGAAACAAAAATTGTTTGTTTTATTGTTTTGTCTTGCTCTAAGACAGCTCTGTGATACATATAGGTGTATACTTGGAGTTTCTGATGTAGCATGACAGATTTATGCTAAATGACTTCCATAGTCCATATTTTTTTTATATAGGTTATAGGTATAGGTTTTATATAGGATATAGGTTTCCCTGCCTATATTGGGTGAAAATGGATGGATGTATGGTCTTCCATAATAATAAAAATCAGGTAAAAAGTCATAATAAACTCCAGCAAAAAACAAATATACACCTAAACTGTATCTGAATGCAATTTTTTTGTTTAGAGACACTTTTGAAGCTTACCCAGTCTGATTCAATCCACTGCATCTCAGCTCACAGAGAGACTGGCACCTGTTGGAAGGATACATCAAATTTAGGATATAGATTTTGAGGTGCTATAAGTATAATACACAAAATGAAGAAGAGACAATGAGTGAGACTACAAGTCAAAACAAACGTACACTCGCATGCACGAATAACAGATGGATTGAAAACAGTTTGACAAAGCATATGTTACTATCAAAAAAGTAAACCAATTTGTGGGGCAGGACAAAAGCTGTCAGAGCAGAATATGATTTGAGAGCAACCATCTTTTTCAGCGTGTCTGGTTAAAAAGCTTAGTTTAGCTGGTCAGGTATTAAAGATCAGTTTTAGCTTTTTTTAAAAGATGGATTGTTAATTGTGTTGTTTTATGTGTTAGTAAGTCATTTTTGATGTCACTAGTTAACTTTATTAGCGGATTTAGAGGGCCGAGGCATTTATTTGGAGTTAGTGAGGGGAGGTTTACTTTTTGAAGTATAAATAACTTAATTTATGACTGGCATTCGCAACATTAGAGTTATTATTAGGGTTACCTGCTTAACGTTTAGTCATCCTTTCGAAGTCTTAATACGCGTCAGCATTCCGTTCTAATAGTCACAAAAAAGAGTTCAGGTCTCTATGGGGCCTTCAATAGTGCTGATATTTAAAAGCATTGGTATTACAACACAAATGCAGCCTTCTGATGTTCATTAACATAAATAGCAAAAGAGGAAAATATACTGTAAGTAGCAGAGATAAAGCATTTTAACTGGATCCCATTCACTCCTGCGAGTGATGAAAGTGTGAATATCAGACATATTCACATTGGCTACAGTGGTTAACACCAAAGGCTGAAGGCACTTAGAACATCTTATTGGAATATAGGGACATTCTTACCTCCTGAATCTCCATATCATTCTCAGAGTCACGTTAGCGCAGACAAGTCAGTCCGACTTATTGTTTAATAAGCTGAAGCTTAAAGAGTGTGTTAAAAAAGATTCAATTTATTGATCTAAACAGTCGATTTCCATTAACATGTTAAACATTTAAATGACTAAACAAGAGTCAATGAACAATTTAGAGCTAAATGTTAAAAATTATTTAACAAAGTTTAATTCTATTAATTAAGCTTATCTATTATTACACAAAATGACTTGACAACGTTTCTACGGTTCCTTTTTGTGGCTTTTCTTTGTTAAATAGATATCTATAAAAAAACATATTATCCATTTCCTCAGGTCATACAGGCATTTAGTACTACAGACAAGTACGTACCTAATCTAATTTTACAAAAATGATCTCATCTTTATTAACAAATTATAGCAACACAAGTTTAACAATTATAATCACCTATTTAGAGAAGCTTGCACAAGGCGCTTTACATCCTTTTTATTACATTTTTATGTACAAATACAAGCTACACACAAAGCAAAGCACTTGGATGTGGCTACATACATAGCCAATTGCTTTCAAACCCAATACTGATATCAAAATTAAATATACAAACTCAGTATTTACCATCATCAAATCAAGAAGTATTAGGAAGATGTTATGTACAAAATGAGTCTCTCCACTCTGGCAATACATTTTTGTCTTAACGCAAAGGTTCCCAAAGTCAGGGAAGCATAATGTGTAGCTAATTCCATGCTTTACATTTGGGGGACAAACAATGGAAAACTAAAGGAATGACAAAAGTACACTGCCAAATCCTGGCCAGAATAAAGCTCATAAAGTATCAAACAAAGAAGTCAACAGTTTCAGATAAGAAAAGAAGGGACCATGTAGCCCCCAAGGTTAGTGTGAATTTAAAAACAAGATTGGCCTATCACTTAAAAACCCCATTTTATATTATTTAGCTAATAAGGTTGGCGTTGTATGGAGGTCACATGATCTGGAGCACCTTTATCAGGTCTCTATGGGGCCTTCAATAGTGCTGATATTTAAAAGCATTGGTATTACAACACAAATGCAGCCTTCTGATGTTCATTAACATAAATAGCAAAAGAGGAAAATATACTGTAAGTAGCAGAGATAAAGCATTTTAACTGGATCCCATTCACTCCTGCGAGTGATGAAAGTGTGAATATCAGCCATATTCACATTGGCTACAGTGGTTAACACCAAAGACTGAAGGCACTTAGAACATCTTATTGGAATATTGGGACGTTCTTACCTCCTGAATCTCCATATCATTCTCAGAGTCACGTTAGCGCAGACAAGTCAGTCCGACTTATTGTTTAATAAGCTGAAGCTTAAAGAGTGTGTTAAAAAAGATTCAATTTATTGATCTAAACAGTCGATTTCCATTAACATGTTAAACATTTAAATGACTAAACAAGAGTCAATGAACAATTTAGAGCTAATGTTAAAAATTATTTAACAAAGTTTAATTCTATTAAATGTAGCTTATCTATTATTACACAAAATGACTTGACAACGTCTCTACGGTTCCTTAGCTAATAAGGTTGGCGTTGTATGGAGGTCACATGATCTGGAGCACCTTTAATATCTACCATAGGGGTGATCTCTGTAGCCCCCTCGAGTAAGTCTTGATGCTGGAGCTTTGAGGTTGGGCCGCGATGATATCCAGTCTTCTTCTGCTAAAAGTGAAACGATTAAACAGGAAAAAAGGCAGAACTAATTTTTAACAGGTAAAACAAGCTTCATTTAAAATAACTGAGAGAAAAAATGGAATTTAACACAAGTAAATGTAGATGTTACAAAGGAGAGGAGCCTCTTTAAGTGGCTGAAATGCAATGCTATGACGATTCATCAGGGAACGGATATCCTACGGCCAAGTAATTCCATGTGACATTAGCCGTTTTTAATGCTTTTTTTGTTTTAAGCATTACAAAATTATAAACTGAGCACCAGCTGATCATCTTACACATACATTTCAATAATTAGTTTAGAGCTCCATTCCCGCATCCCATCTAGGGCTTTGCATGTTCGCCTCGGTACATTATCGTAGATTTGAGAAATATACAATGTCACTTTGCCCTAATTATCAGTTACCAAAGGCAGAGCAGATGAGGCATGAACTCCTGGCTGAGCTCACAGTATGACCCTGCTGTCATTTAAATACAGTATGTGTTGGGAGCCGATGCTCCATTAGGTTCTCTGAGTGTGATCGCTGGGCCATTGAGGAAACAATCAGCCTGCCTTCAGGGCAAAGAGCCTTAACCTTCATTGTTGCTAACTACCGTTTCACAGAGAAAGGAGGAAAAACATTATACATCATGACAAAATCCCTTTTATTCTGATATTCTGTGTAATGATCACTACCGCACAAACAGCCCTCCCTCACTCACATTATATTTAATAGGTTTTTCCCTTACATCCTCCTCACTGAAAAACTATCTCTGATCATTACAATCTTATGGAGGCCTGTCTCCACCTCTGAGTAAAAATACATCAGGTAAAAAAATAAATAATGTCACATTGTGAGATATATAGTCACATAAATAAATTCACAATTGTGAGATCAAATTGTCAAACAGCAAAAAATAATTCATATATAAAGCAAGAAAAAAAGTCACATTGTGAGATATGAAGTCATAATTGCAAGATATAGTCACACTGTGGGAAAAAAAGTCACATTTTGATATACTGTAAAAAGTCATACAATTTTGAGATTTTATACAAATTTACAAAAAATTTAGTCGCAATTGTGTGAAGTCACATTGCAACAAAAAGTCACAATTGCGAGAAATAAAGCCAAAATTGTGAGGTATAGTCACATTGTGAGAAATAGTTACATTTTGAGATATGAAGTCACAATTTCAAGAAATAACGGCACAATAAAGTCATATTATGATAAATAGTCACATTGTTAGAAATAGCCACATTGCAGGATATAAAGTCACACTGTGAGAAATAAAGTTGCAATTATAAGAAACAAAGGCAAGTCACATTTATTCATATAGCGCTTCATACAACTGTTCAAAGCAGCAAGAATATAACATCAATTATGAACCTAGAAGATAATAGTGTCATTATTCAGCTCTGTTTAGTTCAATGTTGTTTCAGTTCAGTTTAATACAAGTGTCAATGTTGCAAACATAGTGTCATTATCCAGCTCAATTCAGTTCAAATTCTTATCCGATAGTGTAGTGCAATAACAGTGTAGTTAAATCAATAATATGACTGAATATTAATTGTCTTTTAAACCAAACAACTGTGACAAACAAAGCTGCAACTGTGAGACTTACAGACACGGTGTGCAATAGGAACTGACAAATATGACACAAAGTCACTATTGTGAGATACAAATTTGCAATTACCTTTTTTTTTTTTGTACTCTGAGGTAGAAATGGACTTCCATATTATCCTGACTGCCTAACGAGCAAAACCTTTCATAACACAATGAAATCTTGGTTTCAAGTCAAAAAGTGGCAAAATATCAAATCATTCCTGTTAACACTTTGACACTCCACTGCACAATTTGCCACAATGCAGATGAGCAAGTACGTATACAATGGGAAACTGGTATCAGTGGAAAACAACAATCCATGCCAAGAACAGAGGGAATACTGCATCAAATGTAATCCAGAGAGGGCACATATTCAAAAGGCAAAGTAATGGCTGAAAGGCCATTCTGACTCTCTTGGTGGGCCTCAGCAACGCCTCCAGCTCTCTACTGGCTCTAGTCCATGATTTCAAGTGCATCTTAAAACCCAAGCCCTGAAGCAGACTAGTAAGGTAGGATGGCAGCTGCTGTGCCCTGGGCCTCGGTGATTTAACAACTGGCAAATGCTGCTAGGTGTTTTTCCTTACTTTAAGCTCTGAAACATTTAACATATATGGAAAATGAATGAGGCAAAAAGGTTTCTCACTGGTGTGGGCAATGTGCCATGACTGAGTTTCAGCCTGCCTGCTATGTGAACTACTGCTATGCAAAGAGGATGTTTCTCTTTGCGGTGCACCATTCAAAATGGTTGACCTAAAATACTAATAGTTTCCTAGTAAGCTAAAAGAAAAAAAAGTTTGAGATGAAAGTCATGCTGTTTTAGAAGAACTGTAGATCAGATTCTTACCATAATTGTTGTAGGCTTCATCATTATTACCGTGTCCATATTCATAATATTCTGAGCCACTGTAGGAGTAAAACTAATTCTTAGGAGACATTTTGACAGATTCTTAGAGCCAAAGTTATGCATCAATTAGATCATGTTGTGACAAAATGTCTTTTGAAAATAAATGTGTACCTTTTCGACTTGTTGCTGTAGTTGTCATCATAGCCCTCATAACTCTGGTCATCATATTCCCCATCATAACCATCATCATATCCCTGAAATCATAGAAACACAAAAGAATAATCACAGAGGGTGACGCTAAAGGACTGAATCTGTCTCAAAGCAGCACTCTAATTGTTTAGGGTTGAAAAATCAATGTTTAATTACACTGCAATAGGATTTCTCTAATAAATATACTCCCAAAGTGGAGGACTGGCACAGCTGAATCATGTCCAACAGAAAATATTGATCAATGAGTGACAATTGTCTGATCTGGCATGTCTGAAGACAAGTGGATAATGCCTAGGTCGGTCCAGTATTAAAGACAAAAGAAACAATAAACAGATTAAAACTTCATGATGAGATGTTCAGGAGATCCTACTGTACATGATTCGTGTCATCCATTCACTTTTTCTTACTCTTTTTTTTTTTAAGCTTACATTGATATTGAAATGAATTATTCTATTCTACATACTGAATGTGCAGCACATATTTTTGGCCTGATGGAAATCCAGCAGCACATAAGAATCTTTTGGTAAAAAGCATCTGAAAGGGACATCAGATAATAAACGTAAAAAGAACACAGCGGTGAATCACACAGAAGCTTCATATTTCAAAAATAAGACATTCTATTTTGCATAAACAAAATGGAGCACATTTGTATGACTATTAAAATGTGTGTGTCTGTGAGATTCAGACTTTTTGGTCTGTAGAAGATATACAGCATCATAAAATTAAAATTAATCTCAAACAAAATCCTGTGCTAAATACACAATATTGTGGTGATGACACTATAATGCATTGATTAAAACAACTAACTATTGGGGAAACTCTAAATAATTATCATAACATCATAACATCTATGGTTTCCATTTTGTTGTTCAGACAGGCTAACTGAAAATGCTTCCCTTTTTTATTAGAGCTAATCTGTCAGCTATTTTGACCCTGTCTATTCCCTTTACATTAAAATTCTGCACAACAGTCCAGTTTTATGAGTATGAAGAAGGATTAGACTAAATTAAAGTTACGGATTATGCCAGGGATTAAGTTGTTCAGGAGATCTAACACGCAAGTTTACTTTCTATTAGTTTTTCCATGTGCTAATAGGGTCAGGGTTCTGTCCTCTCCCACTAATTGACCGGTTTGTTAACATGTCCTCTTGATAGAGTGCTATGCATATTTTAAGCAGCAGCGTATAGAAGAGGCAGCATGTTTTACTATTTAATGGCATATTTCAGAACATGTCAATCACTCTAATACCAACAGCGCTCTAAGGAAATACATTTTAGCAGAACAGTGAGTGACTGACCTACCCATTTAATAGGGTCATTTCATCAAGAGTGGAAGGAGTAGCTTTCATTTTTACACTCACAAAAATGAAGAGGTGTCCTTTTTGTCTGCTATGACATTTATGACATTATTTACTCACCCTCATGTCATTTGTTACCGTATGACTATGATCTTTTCAGTGAATTGTTTGATTCAGAAAGAAAATTAGAAAAATTAAGTTTGAAAAGATATGAGGGTGAGTGAACTACAGACCTTAGTCAGGTTAGACGCTATATTAAATTTAGTGTGGATGAAAACTAGGCTCCGAGGAATAGATTTACATTGTTTATAATGGCACGCACTGTATAATTTTAATCAAATCACAACTTTCAAAACTGTTTTACAGAGTTTTTGTCTATGTCGGTATGTTGTTAAACAACAATAAAATTCAATGAATGCACTGGACAGCCCCATTTTCCTGACAGAAATTAAATATGGTGCTACTCTGACTAAGGTCTATTCCTTAAAGATATACATCAAAAAGTTAGAAGCAAGACATACTACAATAGTCACATATGAAAACACATTCAAACATCTATATGAAATTGCAAAAACTACTTTGTACTTTAGTATACAGAGGTCTTGCAAACACTGTGTGGATATTACTTAGTTTAATAACAAAGTGCTATTTAAAAGGTCCTTGTGTCTGACCTTTTTGACTTTAACATGCACTTACAAGCAGCTGTGCATAATTCGAGCAAGCTCTAGTTAATGGTGTTTGATCGTTACATTTCAACACTCGTTTGAAAGAGCAATTAACTCTGGTCCTATTGAGCAAGCTAACAGCAAATAAATCAAGTGGTAGAGAGCACTGCAAGAGTAATTAATACAGCAGACAGCCAAAGGTCTTCAATACTCTGCTTCATTATCAATTGACAACCACCAACACCTCTTGACAGTGACTGATCTCTGTGTGGGACGGCAACTGAATATGATTCCTCACTGGAGAGCAGCAAAGGGAAATGAAAGGTTGAAAATGCTTTTTGTCTGTGGCTCCGTCTGCTTATTGAATGAGGGCTCTTTGTCTACCACTTGTTTCTCAACCAATTTTTCAGGGCTAATATTTTCAGTTTGAAGTATGAGCCAACATGGGCAATAGGCCAGACAGGATGGAGCAGTCTGAAATATACTGACATCCAACAGGACATATATCTATTTAATGGTCCGTTCTGATTGTTGCAAACGTTCAAAGGAGGCATAATTCTTTCAAACATAATCAAAATGGGATTTCATTTCACATCAATTTTATATTAAAGGGAAACTGCATTTCATATCATGGTGATTAGTGACTAATAGCTTTAGATGAATTAAGTATTATATTTAGTTAACCACAGATTTTTGGAAAGAGGAGAATGAAGGTGGAAAAACCAGTGTACTGACTCAACTGGAGTTTTGATTTTAACTCGTGTCATTGGTGTCTGTGTTTGTGTTTGCACCAAAAATTCACTTGTCGAAACCAGTTGGCCAACCTTTAGGAAATACATGACAACAATTAAGTAGTACTGTATATTAAATAAATTAGAATCATGAGTTTAATTGGAATTTAGTCATCCTGGTATGGGAATTTTTTGTAAAATAACTATTATATTAATATATGTTAAACTTAACAGCATGGAATTATTGTGATTTTTTTTTTTTTTTAAACTGCACTCTGAGTTTCTCTTTACATTTTCATGCAAATGTATCAATTACAATGCGTTGCTCTGCATGTAGAGAAATCATCACATATTCAGGATAAATTTACACAGTCTGTATATAGGCAAACAATATCTCAAATAATTTAATCAAGCAAATTGTTGTCTATGGCCAGGAGTCAGGTTTTAATTTCTTATATTATTTTTCCCCACAAAGAATTAAAAGATCTTACCACTTACCAACAAATTGACATGTCATATATGATAACAGCTCACTGGAAATCTTTAAGGCACCTTCCACCAACCCAAGAAAAACCACATGAATATTTATAGAACTAAAATAACAGTTTAGATTATCCTGAAAACACTGGCTTTGCCTGAAAGCACAGTTGTTTGCCAGTACTAAGAAAGTGGCAGCAGAAATGTGATGAACTAGGACTGTTTATTGCCAAAGATCTCACTGTAGAAATATAGGAGCACATATTACTTGTTACATAAACTTTTACATTCACCCAAATAAAAGAACTAATTCAGTACGCTGATGACAGACAAGTAGGCTATCACTTCTAACCTTCAGAAGCCGCAATTCCTGCAACGGAGCAATCTACTGCGCATTTGCTAATCATGTTGCAATAAATTTTAATAGGCGTTATTTCATGCACGACAAGGAGCTGTGATAGCCATAGCCAGTGTTCTCTGATTCAGTAATCACTGACCAGTAAATATACTATAGCTCATAGAAAGCATAAGGGCTGATATTTGTGTGTACTGTAAACAACAATTTAACCGGTAATGACATGCAGCTCATCCCCCTTGATATTTTCACAGTAAAAGCTCAAGTGCTTCTTTTCCCAGTTTTTTAACTGCCTTCCCATAGCACATTATGCGGATCTACCAGACTGTCTTCTGATAGAGTTTTTCATGGATCCGCACGCCTCTCGTCTCGTCAGCCTTGAAATAAAGCTTGCACATGGATCCGCACGCCTCTCGTCTCGTCAGCCCTGTTACACTCATAGGCATCTCTCAGACATGAACTAATATGTTGAGCCTCTAAGCATTCCACATGCTTCTTTTCAGCAGGAAATTATTAAACTTCTTCTCGAGGTGAATGTCGTACATCTGTTTTATTAAACGAGGGAGTTCTGCATGAAGAATTCTGTTTCAATAATTAGTTCACCTCAGAAATGTCAAGTCAGCGGTGTAAGCGAGCCCATTGTTAAAAAACAATTACAGCCGTGGTGAGATCCTTGCTTTGAAATAGTGCGAGTGAAGCCTTTTCGCAACATTCTATTCTACACCATGAATCGGCTTTTGCCATGTGAAGTGGTGTGTGATTGTGTGCGTAAGAGGTTTACTGCGATACTATCCGAGACACTCGAGGGCTTCTTTCACAGTGATTGACCCTTTTCATTTATTTATCCACAGTGAGCTGGTTTTGACCTTAGAAGGCATTCTACATGCTTTTTTTAATTAGTTTTCAAAGTTACATTAAAACAGTACATTATACAAGAAAAAAGAAAACTGTGAGGGGGTTAAACGGTTAGTTCACCCCAAAATAAAAATGCTACCATCAGTTACTCACCCTCACATATAAACATTTATAAATGCACATACAGTACATAGAGCACATCAAATATAGTAAATGGAAAAACAAACATGCTTGACTGACGCTGTTTAAAGCGTTAAAGTTTGGCAGGAATGTACTTTCAATGGTGGGATGTAAATTTCTCAGGTTTCATTAAAAATATTTTAGTTTGTGATTCAAAAATGAACGAAAGTCTTGTGAGTTTAAGGATAAGAGGGTGAGTAAATTACTAGTGTTACCAAACAGAATTGGAAAAATAATTATTGTTCTCAAACACCTTTCCCCTGTCTGCCATTGGTCAAGACAAACAGATAGCTCTGCCCTAAACCACTAAATCCATTGGTTGAGACACTGTTGTTATGCTGGACTGGTCAGGATATTCAAACAATAATCAAATAATAAAACAAAGGTTTGATAGCACCACAGAGCGTCAGTGTTTACACTTTTCAGCATACTCAACCTACAAATGACTTACAAGCACTCTGCATGTTAAGCTGGTATAGGAAAAAGTATTTTAACATCAAACAATGGCCAACAAACAAGAAAAATTGGATAATTAACAATCAACAAGCAGCTTTGAACATATTATTTTGAAATGTTACAGCACAGATATCAGTCTAGTATTCTACTAAGCCACATTCCGAGATCTGTTTATTTTGTGGGAAGAAAAGGGGCGTCAGCTCATAGAGGAGTGTCTGACTGGTTTGTAGAAGAGTGAAGAGCCCTCTGAGAAAGCACTTGTGATCTTTGAGTAAAGCTGTTGTGCTGAGAGGGAGAGGAGGAGGCAGTCTGGCATGGCTCGGCTGATATACATAAGAGCTGTGATTAACTGGATTCAAATCCTCACCAACAAAAAGAGCAGAACGCTGCCACACAACAGTGGATATTCATGTGTCTTTCATTTTATACATCTTAAACCTGGATGACAGTTTATATAAAAGCAGACAGCAAATTAATCATAGTAAAAAAACAGGCTATACACACACACACACACACACACAAACAAACTGGTATCAATAATTTATTGTATTTTTTAAACCACTTCATATTTGAAACAGGTTAGCTTAATGTATAAGAATTTTGTATAATAAGCAAGCAATAACTGACGATGGGCCATTGAATTATTAGAAAATAATGCACACCCGAGGAGTTAATTATTCTGCTTATACTATGGTTACCACACCTCAAGACGCTTGAAACGCTGATTAAAACGCTCTTGAGTGTAGGATTCATTTCTTACGCATCTCAACCCACGCTTTCATAGCTAATTCCAAAACGTAATTTTAGACCTAGTAATGGAGACTTGAGCCATCGATTGCAGACTAATGCAGTTAATAATGAACCTATTCGAAAGAGAGAGAGAGAGAGATACTAAGTGTGTGTGAATTACCTGAGTCTGTGGGTCTCTCAACAGTGTTCGTCAGCAGCAAGAACAGCGCCGTTATTACCTTGCTAGTTGCTAAACTATTTTACTGATAAAATCGTCAGACAACACGTTTCTGTGCTGGTGTGTGTCTGTATTGTATACGTGTGTGTTTGTAAGGGAGAGCGAGCAGGAGAAATAGAGTATGTGCTTTCTGCACATAATAAAACGTTATTTTGTGGCAAAAACATGGAAATTATTTGTTGTTTTTATCCTATTGTTTACTATATTTAATAGCTTGGTCAGTGTCGTCGGCTGTAAGGACCTTTGAAATAACTCAAATCATTTGGCAAAGTGATATGAACATGTAATGCGAACAAGACCTGCCTGGAACTACTTTAGCTGTGATGTGTTTCCCTGAAAATAATTGCAAACCTTAGATCGTTAGTCAGCCAATCAGATTAGAGAATTCAAAAGCCCCATAGTATAATGTATAAGAATTCATTATCTTAGGCACTTCAGTAAAAGTTTTAATTTGACTATAGTATATCAGCATCAAACCTTCACATGATTGTTTGATATTACTGTAATATAACCTTTTGCTGTTATGTTAATCACACAAATGTAATATGATTCAGAAAGACATTGAATCTTTGAAATGATTCTTACCAAAGAAATATGAATAAGTAATACAAGATACAGTTTTCAGATTCAGATCACTCTGTGTGTAATATATAATATATATATAAAAAAATATATATATACCTGACATAGTCATATATATACTTATATATACACTTATATATTTCCACAAATATATATACACATTCTGGAATTCTCAACGTCTAAGAATAATCCCGAGGTTTAGGATTGGCAAGGTTAGATTTTGAAAGGTAAATTACAATATGTTCCTATAGTGAACTGCTCACTTCTTAGTCCTCTTACCTCCACCTGCCTACCGCAGATCCAATTACTCACAGAAATATGTACATGTTTTCCATGTCTCCCATAATACAGAGGCTCTCCAGCAAAACTCAATTCACATTGGTAATGAGTATGTACTCTAACATTTCCCTATGCAGACAGACCAATCTGCCACAGAGCTGCACATAAAGGGCTTTTGCATTAGGCAAAAGCTCAGAGGGAAACAAATCCATGAGATATTGCTTTTTTCATTAAGTTGGAGTTTGACATTCACTTGGCTGAGAATTCTCAAAAATAACCTTGTGCACACCTGGATGCAAAAAGTCTGCAATGTGGAGGTGCTGTCCTACAAATGAGCAAAGCTTCCATTATTATTTAATCATCATCATCATGACCATCATCAATAATTATATTACTGATAATGATAGTCAAGCTCATCATCTCCAATCAAGAGAGGAGATGCTTTTCTTTTTGCACCACATGGCTTTTCTTTACAGTATGTCAGCATGTAGACTAACATCTTACAGCATTCAATCTGTCAGAATGGGTTCTGTCTTCACTGATTCATTCAACCTTTGGTAAATAGAAAGCCCATTCCTTGTCCATTTACCTCAGTGAATTTGATTTAAGGATTCCTAAACCTTTTTTCTGTCAAGCCTTTTATTTTGTGATTGTGTATATTTGTTTGTGTGGGTGTGTAAGCAAGACTTTCAATAATGAAAAGTTTTTGAACAAGTTTTTGAACTCAACTCTGGTCAAATATAAAACCAGCAAGTGTTTTTACATCAGTAGTTCTTGAAACAAAACTAAAACACATACACACTCCAAAAATCTTCACTTACATAGTCATCATATGATTTGTGCGTGGCCTGCAGTATTGGGGCTCTGTATCCAGAGGTCCCTGTAGTTCCTCTGGCCCTGGGTGCAGACACTCCCCTGGCTAGTGTGGGTGTGGGGATGGAGGTGCGTGTACCCACAGTTCCTCTGGGTGCTGCTGCTGCTCCTCGTCCAGGTGGAGGGGGTGGAGCTGCCCCCCCTCGACCTCTAAAGACATAAATAAATTGAAAGAAAATACATTTAACATAATATATTCTTTTTTTAACTTGTCATTTTATTTTATTTTTATGAAAATATAAATAGAATATTTTTATATATTTTTTAAGATTTTTAGCACAATATATTTGTGCTATATTTATTTTTTCAGTTTTAATTGCTTATTTTATTTTAGTTCATTTTTTATGTATTTAATATTAAAATAAATTACAACAAAAATATTCATAAACCAACTTTCCAATAATGACAATAATTTAATCAATTTAATCAAAATAGGTTGGGTCTGTGTAGATTTAGTTTAATGTATAAAATAATTCACATGTAATTTACATTGTATTTCTTATCTTAGGCACTTCAGTAAAAGTGTCAATTTGATATCAGCACCGAACCTTCCAAAGGCTTAATGCAGTGGCAGTACTATGCAAAATTAGTGCAGCACAACTCCAGTTTTTACAGATGAAAAATTAGCATTTTTTGTTAAGTCATTTGCTGCAGTGCTATAATAGTGGGTTGCTGTGTTTTCATCACCGACAGCCTATTAAAGCCCTGTGAACCATAATGCCAGTGACTCAATAAGGTGAGACAGCAGAGTTTTTAAAGATGTTGCAGTATTCACTGCCTCAGCTCTTTTCTTTCATAGCACTGCTCTAGTTACACACTGTAACAGTGGCAGTGAAGCATGGCATCAAAAAGCAGTCTGTAGAACACATTGTTTCATTCAGTCCGATGAGAGACAGCTTTATTTTGATCTACGGTTTCACTCCCTTGTGCTGCTATGTTTTTTAGGATGATTCTGTGAAATCAAGGGGTGAAGCTGTCTGTTTCTGGAGTAATTTTCAACCTGATTACTGTTGCAGCATGGCAGATGGAGTTGGCAGCACTGGTGAATGGCAGATGTTTCAGTCTGTCTAGATCTACATTTCGTCCATCCAAATCCAAAGATCCTACAGAGACTAATGGCCTCATCAGTGTTGTTTTTGCCATGCTGATTTGTGGTAATGACTTCTCAGGGCACATCAAGGGGAAAAGGTGCTTTATAGCTTTATCTGTCAGGAACGGTAAACAGAAAGATCACATTTTGAATCTATTATTACTACTTGAGGTAATGCAAGGCTGCGTTTACACTGGCACAAAAAATCCGATCTTTCGCTCACATCTGACACAGATCGGAATTTGTTGCACACGTGTAAACACAAAAACCCGCACGAGATCCGATTTTTTTGCATCCGATCTGAGCCACTTCCAAATGTGAATTTTAATCGGATACACATCTGATATCTGGACATCCGACCTACGTCTAAACACACATATCCGATTCTCCACAGAACTCCCAATGCAAGGGCGACACGTTTGCTTATACTCTCTCTCTCTCTCCTTAATTCGAATTAATTTCAATAAATATCATCTTTATTTCACTAAAGAATTCTACCTCTGTAGCTGTAGATAAAATAGTCTAACAAATTAAAATGTAACATCCATGACAGCCGTTGTCCTTGCTGGCAAATAATAATGGCCATTCGACGTGAATTATATAAATAATTTTAAAAGCACGGCCATTTAAAACCCGAGGGTCTACCATGTGCATAGTAAAGCGATCACTGCAGACAATCCTTTTGGGTGGGAATTAATGTAAACACAGATATTGGATACCAGTCGTGTCTAAAGTGAATGTAAACAGACGTGCCAAAAAATCGGATATGGTCAAAAGATCGGATCTGTGCATTAAGACTTGCAGTGTAAACGCAGCCCAAGTTGTAGTTGTTTTGGGAGAATCCTAGAGGGATCTTCAGAGGCTCAAGCAAGCCAGAACAAGTGCAGTGTGAAATTTATTAAATAAACATTAAAGATTAACATTGTAATTGTAACAAGTGTAAATAATGTATGACGGTATATATAAGTTATGCTTTTGATGCGAGCAATTAAAGCTTCACCTGCTAACCTGATTAGTAACACTGAGCCTCAGGGCACTTTCATGATCCAACAGTGCACAGATGTTTGGGAGTGAAAATTGGGCCTTTAACAGTTAGAGTTAAAGCAGTCAGTGTAAACTTGGCTGACTTCTGTTTCATCAGAAACACAGAATAAATTATTATTATTATTATTGTTGTTGTATGACATAGGTGTAGAATACGCGGGGGATGTGTCCCCTCCCCCCCACCCACTTTTAATAACAGGTAAATTCGTCCCCTGCACTTTTTTCGGGCGAAGTGTGAAGTGTGTTCACATAGAGGTTTTCAAAGGCCAGTGAGAATAAATCTACATTTAAATTCAAAGAGACAGGATAGTCTGTGCATGACCTGATGTTTTATTCGTATACAGAATGAGGCGATGTGAACATCATAGAGCCCTCAACACTTTCATGCAGTGTATGTTTCATTCATACTTGAACCGGAGGGCGCTCTCGCTCAGAAAGTCCAAGACGGACTCATAGAAGTAATAACTTATGATGTGCCAGGAAATCCCTAAATACTCTTTGCTAATATGGACAAAAGCATATATTATTTCAGTATTGTGACGTATTTCCAGCTGACACAGGGTTTTATTTTTGCGATCCTCCTCTCCATCTCTCAATCATAGCAAACTAATGGTTAGAGGGTGTGGTTAAGAATATTCTGCCCAAGCCGTCAAACTGATGTCAGCAGAGAAGGAATGCCATTCCAGAGCTGAAGCAAATGATCAGATTTTGATTAAAGATTACCAAAACAAATGGATTAACTTGCATGGATTATGTGCGCTAACAAAATAAATATTGTAAATTTTGATTTCATGCAGACTTTAAGCTGAATAAAAAGTCCAAAAGAAACGTTTGGATTGATGAAACGTGAAGACATTAAACACACGATTGCGACAATATATGTTTTATGTGTGTTTTTTAAGTCATCTCCAGGTAATAAATAAAGTATATGAATAATGCAGTGCTAATGGACAATTCCTTTAAGGTTTCTATGATTCGGCTGGTGTGGTGAAGCTACTGTACCGGGTGGATGCTGTGGAGGTCAGACGTAAGCCTCGTCCTCGTGCGGTTCTTCCTCGGCTGGTCTCATCTGAGCCATTTAAGTAGGAGAGCTCACGAAGTTGCTCCTGCCTGATCTCATCATTGTAATCCTGTGGAAAGAAACAGCAAACTTGACATAAAAATGCATGTATAAACCAACGTGAAGGTGTTGTATATGCATCTCATTTGACATGCTTCTACATAAAGAAACTACCCAGTTGGATGCACATCTTGCTGAAAACAGCGTCAAAGCAACAGAGTATTAAATGCATTGCCAGACCACCAGAACGTTGGCAGGGAATGTTAAATATACTGCCAGAATGTTTTGCTGACTTCAAACAAAAATAAGGATAAAAAGAAACCTGTTTTAGCTTGTTTTTCAGATGTGGAGGACAAGAAACAGTTTTGCATACATACTGACAAAAAGGCACCATATGACATGCACTCCATCACACGCTGAAAATATGGTGTAGAATGAGGGATCGTGATGCACACATATCTTTCATTTAGAGTAAGAGAAATGATAAGAGGCAGGAGAAAAATAGAGCGCTGGCTTATTAACTTTGTTTGACATCAGCTATCAGTGCATTGTTGTGAAAGAATAATTCCACTTTCTGCATTTATAAAGTCCCTCTCTCATTTGATTGAACATGACAGGGCCCTGAATCACAAGGACAATTACAGAGTGGATAGCGCTTATTTTATTATCATGTCACTGCCACAGGCAGATAAACTGAGCCTCATTTCCACCAGCCACTTATTCCCTTCCTGTTTGGCACAACAGCTGGGTACAGGCAAATATCAGACATGGCAGCTAGAAGAGAGTGGCCTTTCCACCAAGATATGCTCAACGATCAATAAAAATTGCATTTCTGAGGTTTAGAGCTGCTTTTGTGTCCACTAAATGGAGGCTTGTCCATTATTAAATAAAATGTAAATACACCAAATATAGAGTATAACTTTCCTTCAAAAAAGAACTAAAACACTACATATCCATCATCTACAGTGCTAATTGGTGAAACATTTGGAAATATGACAAATGAGGGGTGATCATTTCACAGTCCTCTGAAGATACTCTTAGAAACTACAGAGACTATCACCTAGACATTGGAATTTTGATAGCTTCTGTACCATGTTGGTAAGGTGAGGTGAAGTGCTTGGATCAGCACTCTAGGTTTTCCCTGTTGCCAGGGCAGCCCATGTCGCAGCCTCAACAATCTGACTGCATTCCTTGCCTTGAGAAATGAGGGTAACACATGGACAGACAGAAACTTATTTTATACTGATCAGATGTAATGAGCATTCTGATGGACTCATTATATAGAGTGTCTCGTGGTAAAGCTAATTATGTTCTGAATCGGATTTAATAACAGCGGTAATGCATTGATTTAGGATATAAACAGGGAGTCTTAGAAACATCAGACCAAATTATGTCCAGCCAGCCAGTCAAGCTGAAAAAATTAAAGAAATAAATAATAGAAAAAACTTCTTGTTTTTTTTTATTTTCAGTCTCCGTATGAGTACATCCTCTCTGTATTATTGGTATATATAAGACTTCTTCCTGCAAAATCTAGCCAGTTTCCTTCTTAATGAGACTACAGTCAATAGATGTACAGTACTGCCGCTGAGAAGAGCCCACTCACACCTACTGAAGATGCTGGGTTTTGCATGAATCACTCTTTGCCTGTGGCAATGTGTGAGGTTGTGTATTCGTATTCACATTATAGGCTTTCTGTAGGCTTTATCAACAAAGGTTTAGGCCTATCAGTAGTCCAGGTTGTAAAGTCGTTTTGTTTGTTTTATTAAAAGACATATTCTTTCTATGTTAAACACTGCTAACTGGAATTACAAAATTCATTCAATGGAACTTCACAATTCATAGTGCAATTTAATCCAGAGCTAAAGATAATCTGCATGCAGCTTTATTTTTTTTTTGACAATGTTATCTTTACAGCTTAAGCAACATCATTGTCTCTATGGTCTATTGTCTTTAAAAGACACTCCTTTTATTGTGGAAGCATGCATTAAACTGACTAAATATGATAGTAAAGACATTTATAATGTTACAAAAGATTTCTATTTCCGATAAATGCTGTTCTTTTAAACTTTACCTCAAAGAATCCTGAAAAACAGTATCATGGTTTACACAAATATATTAAGAAGGACAACATGTTTGAAAAATTGATAATGAGAAGAACTTCAATATGCAGCAAATCAGCATATTGAAATGATTTCTGAAGGATCATGTGACACTGAAGACTGGAGTAATGATGCTGACAATTCAGCTTTGCCAACTCAGGAATAAATTAAAAAAATATATTCAGTTATTCTGAATAGTAAAAATTGTCACAATATTAAATTTTTACTGTATTTTTAATTAAATAAATGCAGCATTGGTTGCTATGAGAGATTTCTTTCAAAAACATTAAAAATATCTTACCAACGGTAATGTATGTGTTTGCTGGGCATTATTTTTATTAATCTTTGACTCTTCTCTCTCGTTCCTTCTTCACATTTCTTCACTCACCAAGTCTGCCTTCTTTCACCTCCGTACTATCGCTCATTTACGTCCCTTCTTAATTTTCAACGATGCTGAGAGAGACACTGGTTCATGCCTTCATTACTTCTTGACTCGACTACTGTAATTCTCCTTTCTACGGTCTACCAAACACAACAATAAATACGCTCCAATATATTCAGAATTCTGCAGCTCGGGTTCTCACTTTTTCAAAGAAATCTTCTCACATTACTCCCATCCTACACAGACTTCATTAGCTACCAGTTCGTTTTCGTATTCAATACAAGATACTCCTCATCACCTTCAAAGCACTTCATAGTCTTGCCCCCCTGTATATTTCGAATCTCATTCATATACCTACTTCCCAGTTTGCACACTAAGATCTTCTGATACTGGTCTGCTATTGATTCCACAGCACAAGTTTGCATTGTTTGGTGGATGGGCGTTTTGTATCTCTGCCCCCAGACTCTGGAACTCTATTCCCAAACACATTTGTGATCTCTCATCATTACATGATTTTAAAACCCACCTTAAAACATATCTTTTCCTTTCTTGTTTCTCTGATCTCTGATTGTATGATCTGATTCATGTTATGTATTTTATGTTTATCTGTATTAAATAAACGTATTATTATTAAATAAAATAAACTTATTATTTGGAACCTGGGTCTGCCTTTGCTAACAGTTTCCACTCTTCTGGGAAGGTTTTGAAGCAGACATTGAAACACGGATGCTGGGTTTTTCTCTCATTCGGACACAAGAGCATAACTAAGGACAGGTAATGAGTCAGTGGGGTCTGGCTCTCAGTCTGTGTTCCAGTTCATCTCAAAGGTGTTCAATAGGAGTACAGGTCTAAGCTTGTCAGACTTAGACTTACTAAAACATTTCTTAATAGACTTTTCTTTTTGCACTGTGGCATTGTGTGATGCTGGAACAGAAAATGGCTTCCCAAAACTATTGCAAGAAAGTCAGAAGCACACTAGAATGTCATGTGTGCCGTAGCATTAAGGTTTGTTTTCACTGGAATTAAGGGACCTAGCAAAATCCTTGAATTAGAAAGGGGCCATGTAGTGTATGTCATGTCTCTATAAAACAAATGCTATGAAATATTCACATGGCTGCCTAGATATTATTAACATTTCAAAGTGCACTTGAGATGCCAGCACACTCCTTTAATCCTGACAGGAATCAAGCTTTCTGACAAAGATAAATGAGTAGACCACTATAAACACATTCAAAGATGGAAAAATGTCAAGACATTATCTCCAAACCCTAATGAGCTGCCTCGCTGCATACCGCCTACATAGGAAGCTGCTTTTATGGCAGCATCCTAGCAGAAATGGATACCCACACATTGCTGTCTTAGAATTTGGCTAAAAAAGGAGGCATCATAATATGTCAGGAGCGTGTCTATGACATCTTAAAATACCTACTACAGATATAGATTAGAAACAGAGTTATTGAGATTGAAAATTCATCTGCTTGGTATTCTGCCGTGGGCATAAGGATAAAACATGGAACAACACTGACAGCAAAACATATGGAGGATGTGACCAGATCAGTGCTGTGGATGATGCAAAGATGTGGTCCAAGAGGCTAAGAGCCTGCCTAAAGCCCAGGGCGGGAGAGCTGAATGCAGGGAATCTCTCCTAGAAGGCTTCCTCCCTGAGGCCAACAACTGATACTGCTACATTAATATTTACAGTCTGGACCAATGTTCCCTCTAATTTTTTTTCTTGCTGAGCAAAACTTTTCTCTATTGGATGGACATTTCGGCCACCTGAGCAAAAACATTCTTTATGACCTGTACAGTGCACACACAAAAAAGTGTCTAACTTGTAACTTTAATGTGCTATTTATATTTGATTTGACCCTTGATGTAACTAAATTATGCACATTTTAGGTTACCTGAGAAAACATTTTAACAGTGCTGTGTTACTTACCAAGAAATTCTATTAAAAATCATTCAAATAAATCTCACACGGAACAGTTCAATTCTTTATAATAATATAATATAATATATAAATATTTTCAAAACAATGTGAATTCTTTTACAGTTATCTAAAACATCCCATGTAGTAGACTTTGCACACTACTACACCTGTGTGCGACTGTAAATGTTCCGCATTCACGAACCGCATTCACCGCTTCTATAGCACAACCAACTCTATAGCATTTTGCCCGAGCATTGCATTTATTTCGCATTTACTAGAATTCAATCAGATGGCTTTCCCAACTCATTTTTGCATCTGTCCTGTTAGCGGCATAGAGGGAAACTCACGGCACAGCTTAGAGGGAACATTGATCTGGACTATTTACAGAGATATTCATTTGCCACATTAATTACCTGTGAGAGCTCCAAGACCCGCTTTTTCTAACATTACAAGTAGGCTAGAGTGTGTACATTACTGTTTAAAGGTTTGGGGTTGGTAAATTTTTTTAATGTTTGTAAAAGTCTCTAAGGCTCACTAAGGCTGCATTTTTTTTAAATAAAAAACAAAACAGTAATACGGTGAAATGTTATTTCAATTTAAAATCTGTTTTCTATTTTAATATGTTAAATGTAATTTATTGCTATGAATTTTCAGCAACCATTACTCCAGGCTTCAGTGTCACATGAGCCTTCAGAAATCATTCTGATATACTGATTTGGTGCTCAGTAAATAAATAAATCGAATTTATTTATTATTAAATCTAATTATTGTCAATGTTAAATAGTTGTGCCGCTTACATATTTATTAGTTTATTTATTTATGTGGATACCATTACACAGTGAGCAGCATTAATTTGAAATCTCTTGTATCATAAAGTATTATAATTATTTTAAATCTTACTGACTTTTGAACTGTACATAGTCAAAAGCTGAAGAACTTGTCATTTGTTTTTTAAAGAAAATTCATAACCTAGGGTGAAATTAATTTGGATTTGCAAAATACATTATGAGAAACCAGCAGCGTTCTCTCAGTTTCTAGCCAATTCCAACATATTAAACATCCAATTTTTTAAGGCTGATCTCCAATGTATATATTTAATCATATGCATAACTCTGTAATCTCTTTTTTCTATGCAATAAACATGAACAAGTTTATGCATGCAGGAGAGCACTAGAGTTCAGTATTGGTTGGTGCACTCATCTCATCTTGGCTTCCAGCTCACCATCCCTCTTAAGGAATCCGACTATATGAACTTACTGGAACAAGGAATTTCTTAATCTCCTCCAGGGCATGGCTCATGCGGGAATAGGCTTCTCCAGGTGGTGCGAAAACTTCAATTAAAACATGAAGATCGTTGCTCAAATGGGCGTATTTCGCCTCTCCACTTTTCCTCAGCTCTTCCTCCTAGAGATGGAAAATAGTCAGGACTTCTGTGTGAAGAATTAATCATATCATTAATGAATTAAATAAACAGTACTTTTTTCCCCTCAAACCAAACCACGATGCATATTTTGAACTGAGAGTGAACTGGAAAGGCATTAAAGGGATAGATCATTTACTCACCCTCATGTGGGACATTTTTCAAATGATCTTTTTATCCCATGCACATAGAAAGGAAAGTCATACAGGTGACAGAATAATAATTTTTAGGTGAACTATCCCTTTAAGAAAGAAAGTCTTTTTGAAGTGATGATGTTCTTTGGATGTATTTTGACAAAAAGGTCATAAATATGACTTTTTTAACTCACATTTTATAATAATTCTCATAACGGTATGGGAAAATTGTGAACAATGGAACCTATCAACACCCTTACTCTGTAACACAGATAATGGGTACGCAGATACTGCAAATCATCATGCTTAAATCTGCCCAAGGGCTTTTGTCAGAAATAAATTGACACCGTCACCTTTCTGATTAAATCCTGCCATCAGAAGAGCAGAAAAGGGTGATATTTCACAGAAGTATTCAGTGTTTCAATTCTCTCTGATTGCTAAAGGTGTTGTGGCTCTTCAAAAACTTTAAAACTTCAACAAGCTTGTAATTAAGGTAGCCAACATTTCTGTCTAATGCTGATTACTATTTGACTGTGGCTTCTTCTTAAAGACAGGAGGACTTTGATGTAGGGGCCATTCACAGATGTCTGATCACTGATGCGGGCCCTTGTAGCCCCTTCAGCTTTAATAAACACTTACCGATACCATCTCTCTATCATTTCAAAGTGACCCAAGCACTTTTTCCATCATGCTTTGCATGGACGAAAGGTCAGGAGACACTTAAGCTTTTCTGAGAGGCGTAATCATATTTTGTGGGGCTCCGTATACAGGCGCCGATGAATTGTGAAAGGTGAGATGGTTCAGACGGTGATTTTGACACAAATATATGCGTGTAGGTGTGGATGCTGTGGGTGTTTCCAGATTTTTGAGGGGAGCAGGGAGTATGGGTCACCATACTTGGCCACATGTCACGTCACTTTCACTTTCAGGTTAACTTAAAAATGGACAGACAAAAGGGGAAGCAGGAGGCAGTGAAAAGTCTGCCACCTCATTTTTACATTTGTTCTGTTTCAAGCCTGAAAGCTTTAACTTTCCTTTCATGTCAATCCATGAAGAAAATGTTCTGTTGTTTCAAAAGGTAGGTCTGTCTCCCAGGATGCATTTCAAAAGGCACTCAAGTAAGCATGTCTAAGCACAGCAGAATCCTCTTCAAATGTGACAAAATGAAGGGTTCCTCATATTTATTCCCAGTAAAGTACAAATAGTGAATCTGACACTTATAAGCCTGACAGTTATCCAGCGCCCCTATGGAGTTAAAGAGCTCAGATTTGAAACATTCGAACAAAAGCTTATAAAGCTTATAAAATCTTTTCCTGAAACTCATGGAAACGGCACTATGGGTCATAATAAATGCGGCATTTATTTTCCTTCCATAAAAAAATTAAGGATATGAGTTAAATATTTCTGCTATAACATTTGAGTCTATCCCCTAGATTGAGATTTGCGCTACACCAATTGCCATTGTGGTGAATGTAATATCCTGACATACCATTTTTTGATTCAGTTAATTTGCTGCCCTCAGACATAAGCTGTTCATTTACTTGCCTAGGGAATCATTCTAAATGCAATATTCTTTGCTTTGCAGATACTTGGATGTAGACAGTGTTATATGAAGACCTCAGTAGGACTTTCAGATACTGCACAGACAAGTCTATAAAGATGCACGGCTGACTCTTAATTTCATATGTATAACAAACCTGTACCAGCTCAAGGTGACTCTTTATAATGGAATATGTTTGCATTAATGATTGCCTTTGGGATTTAAAACAATCCAACAGGCTCTTGTTTGAGTTCTGCCATAAATTTAAATAGATTTCAGACTACGATTCTTCTGCATGGTTAAAACAGTGTGAAATTCTATAGTGAAAAGTGTGTTTATAAAACTTAAAGAACATTTTGCTTGTAGAAACGCCCCACATGGCTATTTGGAATAAAACAATGCATATTCCTGTCTCATTTGCTTCTTTTGGACACCTTTTTAGCATGTAACAATGTATGACTATAAAACAATAACAAAACATTGGCCTTGTTTGGTTCTGTGAAATGATTGCAATGAAGACAGATTTTTGTCAAAACAGTATGCGTAATTTGTTTACATTAAAGTCTGAGGGGGAATTCATTAAGAAAAGATTATAGCCCTAAAAGCATCTTTTATTTGCATGCCATCTGCATTGCTTGAGCACACAATTCACATGAGAAATTATGTATATCAGGTAATGGTAAAATTGGGGCTGTGTGCACGATGTGATCTGCACAGTGCAGTTTGCACAATGCTAGTATACAATTGATGCAAGACCACATATAAACACACGTATGTACAGTATGTAGCATGCGAAATGCAATATGAAAATAAATCTAGTAAAAATAATTTCTATTGGATACAATGGGGTCATAAATTGTTCATATGGTTTCTGATATACTGCATATGAAAAAAAAAAATCTCTCATTGCTTTTTTTTACATCATAAACCAACCAATCTGATTTCAGTAATAGATTGATCCACAGATAAATCCGCTGCATTTTATAGAGCTTTGTTTATTTAGAAAGGAGGTGTTTGCGCTGAAAAGAATGTTTAAATATTCATGGCACAGCGCTAAACCAGCACATGCCTTTAGCATACGGCTAAAATAGACTGCAGGTGGAATGTGAACAAGACACTGGGTTTTGCACTGTGCACTACATTTCATTCCTCTAACAAGTTCAGAACACTTTTCAGAGACCAAATGAGGACAAACAGCTTTTGTGTAAATAATTCATACTACACGCTCAGGTAACTGTAAATGCATTGCTGATTGCACAAACAAAGTTTCTGTTGATCTTCAAAATCTTCAAGTTTTCATCATGGTGCTGTTGAAAAAAGGATTGTTCCAGCTCTAAAATATTATTGGTTGAACAACATTCAACATTGATGTAAATATGCACACGTCATCTCAATGCTATATTAATATGCCAAGGTTCCATGCTTCACTTGTGCCTAACAACACCCCTTAACATTGGTAAAATCTCTTTAGAATACAGCATCGCTTTGCTTATTGCTTCATTCTATTTCATACACTAAGTGAAAGAAAACTAATGCTTGATATGAATGTTTTTCATTCAATGGCGTTGCATTCAATAATATTACATTAAAATGAACATTTTATTGAGCTGGGGAATTCAAGATGGCCTATTATGAGATGACAGGAGCAGCAAACCGAGAAATATTACATTTGGAACGATTCTCTGGCTCGGTAAATGACCAGTATGTCTCTTAGGGCAGCTGTTTGGCTAATTAATCACAACATGCCATTTCTAAACATTACACTCACCAACACTCAATCCAAAGCACATGTTTAAATCATATCCACTGAGAAATATCCATACTGTGAATAGTCTCAATAACTCCTTTGCAACCTAGAGATACTGTTGATTCTACAAACACAAAAAAAACATTGGTCTGTTAGGTTGCAATATATATTTCTCTTTTCAAGAATGTATACAACATCAGTAAATGCTAAAAACAGCAGTTCCTCCTCTATCTAGGGGCATATAGAGCAGGTAATGATCTTCTGTCTCAGCGTCATCTCACACTTTGTTCTGTCAGCCACTGATGCTTGTTAAACTCAAATAAATGAAAGGTTTACAGGATTTAAGGGATAAAGCACTCTGCTCTGGAATAAATGTTGTGCGCATAACATGCACAAGCTTATGGAAGCCCATTTCCTCCACATAAGAAAAAAATCATGCTTTGGTAAATCATAATTATGATATAAAAAGTACAAATTATGAGATAAGTCAAAATTATTAGTTAAAACGTTGAAAGTTACTGCATGACTAATATGTCAATAATTTTTTTTAAATCTCATAATTATGACTTAGTATCCAATATTTCAACCAGAGTATGTGAGCGGAGTGGAGCGGCAACAATTTCTCCTCCACACTCCAAGTATTTAATATTCACTCTGCTCTGCTCCGGGTTCAGCGTTTCCCGCTCCTCACTCCACTGATCAGAAATGCAGCTCCGCCTTTGCTCCATGGCGAAATTTGTCGCTAAAGTATTTCAGCATGTTTTGAAATACCACAAAGTTCTGTTCAGAACTTATATTAAACGAAAATTAAATTCACAGTACTAGAAGAATAGTTTTAACGTGGTTTATTGGAACACTACAATGAGCCCAAGTTTATATTAAATGACTGTTTAACTCGTGTGTGCAGCATCTCTCTACTATGGCAAAGAAACAGAAAGAATATGCTGTAACTTTTCCTTTTTTAAGCTGATAAATCCCAGCACAGCGTTGACAATAATTTTCTGCACTCCTGAATGTTTCTATGTGTGCACGATCTGTACGTTATGTGTGAACTTGTGTGTTGTGTGGGTGCGTGCAGCAATGTAGCGCACTTTAGTTTAGAGCGGAGATTAACTACCTGTACAATAAACTGTTTAAAACGTGAATTCCCCCAATCATTACTGAGTATCCACATGCTACAAACAAACATGCCTGAGATATAACCTCCCACACTCGTCCATCGCCGTCATTAACCTTCACCTTCTTTCTGATTTGAGTGATCCACATATCTGTCAAGCCAGTTAATGATGTTTAATGCGTGAATTCTTGATAAAATGCAGTTATAGTATGAACTGTTGGCATTAATTGTGCTCGGAGCGAGTGATGCTCCGACTTTCAAAAAATTCACTCCTTGCTCCAGTCAAAAATCACGCCGCTCCACTCCCAGTCACACACTCTGATTTCAACATAATTATAACATAAAACGTTTTTCAAATTATGAATGCCAAGTCATAATTATGAGATAGTTTAAATCATGAGATAAAAAATGTCAATTGTGAAATAAAAAGTCAAAATTATAAGTCAACATTTTATGTCATAATTAAGACTTTCTAATCTCATAATTATGACTAAGCATGTCATAATTTTGACATTTTAGATTATATATTACCTTATATATTACTATGTATTTCATAATTTTAACTTTTTATGTCATACCAAAAGTTGTTTTTTTTTCCGTGGCAGAAATAGACTTCCATAGAATTACAATACTATTACACTTTCTCATTGACAAAAATCAACAAATGGTTTAATACAGGTCTAAACAAATGCAGGTAGTTTGCTTTTGTCATGAGGAGTCAGTTGAGATATTTTATTTAATATTATGGCATTTATGGTTACAAACAAATCAATGTCAATCTTAATAATAATACTCGAAGCATTTATGGAATATATTGCATTTATACAGTACATAGGAGAATAAAAAAATAAGTTGTTGCCAGTCATCTTACCTTCCCTTTATCCCTCATTGAACCCTTGCCGAGGATGGACATCTTTGCTCCCGTTTCCTCTTGTAATCTTTTCATGGAATTGCCCCTGGGCCCCAGCAGTTTCCCAACAAAATTAAACTGTAATAGAGGAGAGAAAAAGCAATACGGTTGGTCTCTCACACTGCCTGCTTCCTAGACAGTTGCCTCAGTTACTTCACAGTCAAAAAAAAAAACATTCAAAAGTAGGTTGGTTTTTCTTATCAAGCACAAAAACAGTTACAGTGAGAGAATGAAAAATTATTTTGTTGGTTCAAAATGAAATCTGTGGCAGTCCTCAAACATTTTTTGGTTCAAGTTTTTCAGAAGCGATCAAAACAGACGTGAAAGTCTACACCTGTTTCTGCAGGGCACTGCAGCCACTAATGTGTCTAATCGATGTTTGGGGTCAGTGGTTGGGCTCCGTTGCTTTCAGAGATATTATAACATGTACCAAATGCCAAAAGGGATCTTCAAAATGATCCAGAAGTTCATGCTTGAATGAGGCATAACATAATGAGTTCATTTCCAATGGGGATTCAAGTAATACTACTCAGATGATGAGCTATCCAGCAACTGCCTTGGGGCAGCAACTAACATTTCAGTCACACGGCAGATCAGCGGTCATTGAGAACACTTGGCCTTCACCATTTTTTCACCCCCCCTCTCCGTTGGTTTACTCACATCTGTGCATCATACAACTGTATCTTCAAGGGATTTCTGAGTCTTACACTTTGCAATCAGATTTGGGCTGCAGAGGTTTGTTTAATGCCCATGATAACAACAAATCTTAAATAGTCAATAAATGCTGCCATTGTAAGAAAAAGTGCCCTTGTATAAAACGGTCCCTACTGTCTGCTCATGTTCAGTGTTCATCACTTTATCTGATGCATTACCACAATCCCCTTAGCCAGCAGCCTCTCTAAATTCACTTTAGATGTAATATGTTTTTGAGAAACCTTTTAAAAACATTTTGTATATCTTTACACAGGACAATAAAACAGAATAAGAAAGTCACCTTTTGGATGTTGAGAACACATCTAAACAGATTGTTCTTTCTGACCAATACACACACACACACACACACACACACACACACACACACACACACACACACACACACACACACACTTTCTTTCAGTTTTTCACGTTTTAACTTGACACATCTTATCACTGCCAACACAGTGGTAATGGCAAAAGACATAAAAAAGTGGGGATGAATTTAAACGACATCTTCTCTGTGAGAGTTTTACTGTGTGAACTGTAAAACAAATTTTTGAACTGTAATACGAATTTTACTGTGCAAGCAGGGGGAAACAACTTAACTCTTAAACTTTACTCTTAAAAAACAGTCTTAAGACTAGGAGGCCACAATAAATAAATAAATACATAAATATTGGTTGTGCTTGACTAGTCCACCATCCGTGACATTCCAACTGTAACGTAAATAAAGCACACATTTATACAGTCTGATGTTGCATAATTTTAGCGATAAGGCCGTTTACTACAGTATTTGTATATGTCCAGCCCAGTGAGCCAGACATTACTAAGGGAAGTGAATTTGTCCTTCAAATGTTTGCAAAGGTTAGCTGATATGTGGTGGCCAGAATTAAACAGTTGGCTATAACACATGTTGACATACCCTGTCTAGCATATGGCTGGAAACTCCTCAACACATGCTCTTCCCAGTCAGGCTGTAGATGCAGCTGTAGGGAACTCTAGCTGATTAAACGCAGAAGAACCGTCACCGAATTTGGCCGGAGCCACAAAGCAAATGCAAACAGTTTCAGGTGAAAGGGTGAGGTGTGGGTAGGGCAGTATATTTAGCAACACTGCAGCACTGCGCCAAAGTGTCATGACCAACTCTCTCGGAGCGGTTGAGCTGGAGGTGTGCCTTTTGCATCCCCTCTGACAGGGTGTGTATGACAGGAATACTCTGCAGCTGGCTGGGTGCCTCGGAGCAGATGGTTGCCTCAGCTACAGTGTGAAGATGCTCACTGGGCGGCTGCAGTGGAGTGGCCTGTTTTCATTAAGCTAATGAATGTCTGGAGCCACTCTCCTGCTCCAAGGTGGGCAATTTAGGCTTTATTAGGGGGCACAGTTCAGTGCTGGATGAGGTTTGAAGCGATGCAAGCTGTCTGTCCCTCGCAGTCCCCAGCAGAGGCAGGCCACAGAATGATGGGCATTATGCAGCACTGACAGGCTGAGGATGATAAACCTGACAACCGGAGGCATAAGTGTCAAACCGCATTGCCTTATTATGAGCAAATGGGACTTCTAAGAAAGTGCGCATGGTGTGCTGTTGGAGACTAGATCACTAACTCACACTTCTAGAGCCTGGATCAGTGTGTACGTCTGAAAACACTGCGAAAATCCTGGGAAAGCACAAACTGTAGTGTTTATTGATAACTAAAGACGCTCGGATGGCTATTCACTGTGCTGTCATGCAGAATCACTTATTTTTGGAGCCTGCAGGGAGTTCAGAGTATGTGTGTGGCTGGCTGAACAAATGACTTTTCACACATGAGTCCCGTTGACAGGAACCTTCACCTGCGCTTGGCGCTTTCTCATGTGCATTACATTGATTTCTCTGTCAAAATCTATTCAGAAGTCATTCAAGTCACTCAGACCACTAAGCTCTTGATCAGTTTCATATTGGCACAATCACCAGACACATTTTATTGGCACAATCACAGACACATTTTACTATCATCACATACTGACAGTCATTCTATTGGAGTCATTTCTGTTGATTCGTCCAATATGCTGTAACTACACAATCAGCAGACAAAAAAAAAACATATTTATCCATTGAGGGCCATGCAAACATAACTGTGTACTCTACAAAATTGTATTTATTTATTTATAAACAAATATAATCACTAATATTTTGTTTCTCTGCAAAAGCAAAGGTGAAATTGGGTATGTTGGGTTACTAGGCAAATTTTTCTCAGTACCATTGTTGTTACATAGTTACACATGCCTTTGTGGGGCAGTGTTGTACAGTAGATGTTGTCTACATCAGTTGCCATTAGGACTGCGCAATATGGCCAAAAATATTATCACAATATTTTTTTCCCATGTCATACAATATCTTTATTTATCACAATATTTGTTTACCATTAATGGGAATGGAAATACTTTCCACATGTTTGTCAGACCTTGCGATTGACTGTAACCATAACTTGTTTGTTCACAAACTCCACAGAGTAAGCTACCTTTTAATTTAGGGCCCCATGAAATCCATTTTATTTTCCCTAAATTCTGAGTTTTCCATTGTATTTTTTTCTGGATTCTGTGTTTTATGACTGAATACAAATTTGCCATCAAAAATGGTGTCCAATGAAATTAATAAATAAAATTATAACAATCGAATCAGTCTTTTAAAATTTAATCAAATGAAAATATAACCGTTAATTACAAAACTTTGCATTTTTATTTTTTGTGAAATAAGATGCTGCACAACAGAAGTACATAAATTAAAACATGGATGAAAAATATCTTGGTTGTATTATATTTCTTAAAAAATATAGTATTATTATTACTTTGAGAAGTACATTTTAGTATACAATATTAATATATTTCTGTCATAATTTCTTCAAGTTAAACCGAACTTTTATTTTGGCAGCTTGTCATGAAGATCTTTGTATTTCAGTGTGTATTTGACGGTAGTTTTTCTCAAATGAAAGTGACTCTCAGAGCAGCTCTGGATATGTTCATGTGCTCATGTCCTCATATACTGAGACGGCAGACGCTGAAAACACTGTGAGTGTCACATGCATTTGAGGTTGTGTAGTAGACGAAACTACGTCACTCATTTAAACAAAGATACATAGAGCATGCAGACTTATAAGCGACATGCACTGACTGGCTGTTGTCACATTTATTTCTGCTTTGTCATAGGCTGTTAATAATTTTATCGCAATCTTGATATAATATCTTTTATTGCCCAGCCCTAGTTACCATAGACATGAATGTGAATGTCACTGGATAGCTCTCTCCAGGTATCACAGACCTTCTGTTTTTGCTGGAAATCATTCCCTACGTGATCATCAAGCGTCTAGCGTAATTCTTTGACGAGTGATTTCAAAGATTTTGGAACATAAAAATGGGCCAAAGACCAAATAAGGTTGAGAATTCCTGCTCTAAGACGAGCTTTATTTGTTAATGTAAACCTCCTCAGAAAGAGTTTAAGAGTTTAAAATCTGTCTCATATTCAGTCTTTAATGCATTCTGTACTTCATTCTGAATTTCATTTTGTGGTGCACTAAAAGTGCTGTTCTAGAACAATTCTCTTCTGCTTTCCCATTCTCAACAGGTTTGTAGCAAAGTGCTCCTCTATACTTTTCTAAGTCTTTGACTATTTTGTTTTTCATTCTGCATTATTAAAGGTGCATATTCTTATCCTTCGTGAAAGAGCTACATACTAATCTATTTTTGGTGCATCTTATCACATCATCAAGAAATTGGAACAGAAGATCTTGAGGGACACAAGCACAATTTCAATCTGCTGCCAATTTATCATGACTGAATATGCTCTATACATCTAAAGCTAAAGAGATATTAAGCACAAGACACGTGCTAACTTGTGTTATTTACAAATTTGGGCTCCAGACTGTGCCAATTAAACCTGGAATTATAGACTCTGCAGAAATAGTTACAACAGCTCCACTGCATTTTATGCTGTATAAATGACTATAATGTCTAGGGCCAATAAACTTCTAAATATCCTCAAGGCTGTTTCAGCAAAAATGGCAAAAAAACTCCTCAGGCTTCACAACAGAATGTGCTGCCAGCCAAAGTTGGCGAAGAGAACACATAACATAACCATTAGTGGAGTTAGGATGTTTGCCTCTGTTTGAGTTGGAGGTTGAAACATAGCACCCTTGCCATAAGCTGTGAAACCAGATAAGATCCGCATGGGTTAGATGTCTACTGCCAGTGTAGCCAACTGTGCTGCTAGCGAGGCCTAGCACAGGCTGATAGCAGGATTATTGCTGGGAACTAGGACTGTGAGAGATGTAATAATGACCAGGAGAAATGGCTTGGCTGCAGTCAATAGACATGGGTATTAGCAGAGAATGGTTTAAACAGTGGCAGCG